GAGCCCGACAGAGGAGGGAGGGGCGGGGCGGCTGTCGCCTTGCGGCGCTTCAACAACTGTCCTGCGTCTGACCTCAAAGTGCACAAGCTTCAGACTTCAGCGTTGGCTGCGATTTTGAAGCTGAAATCGCGTTCGGTGTGAACGCACCATTAGGGAGCCAGCCAGGTCACCTACAAATACCACCTAACAACCCCACCCCAACCCTACTTTGTCCCCGCAGCCACAGCTTAATAAGGTAGGGGTCAGGAGGACCCCACTGCCACACCAAACATGAGTGGGGTCATATGGATCGCTGAAGTAAAAAGTTCCGCCCCCAGGGGTGGGACTAAGGTCTATATTAAAGGTTACTAGGTACACGTAGACTTTAGAGTAACCAGCAACAGGAGTAGAGAGAATTTTTTTCCTGATAAGATTCACTAGCTATGTTTACATGCACAAATTTTTTTAATCGGATTGAAATGTATTCAGATTAAATAATCAGAATGTACTGTTTACATGGTCACAATCCGATCATGAAAAGTGTTTACATGCACCGGACTTTTATTCTGAATAAAAGTCCGGATATGCGCATTGTTGTAAACTGTCAGCTCTACTTCCGTGTTACAAACGTAAACAAAGCTCCTCTGTGCGCTCAGGACGGACCCATGTCAGCTTTTAATAATGTAGAGACGTCGTTACTCGTCTCCTCGGTTGAGCTGCAGCCTGCAGATGAAGCAATACGTGCTTTTTAATTTTATTTTTTGCGAAGCAACGTCTGCTGTTTGCCTCCTTTTTCATCTGTTAAGAGAGTGAGGAGGAAAAGTTCTGTGCGGTGCAGCACAGCTGGAGTGCTGCTGTCCCAGCTCCTCTAACCTGGTGAATGAAAGTCAACAGACATGCGCACACAGGTCAGTTTTCTACAATCAGAATAAGATGATCCGATTAAGTGTTTACATGAACCTCATTCCGATTATCAATCGGCAAAACCCACCCTTTTCATTCGGATTAGAAATTCATTCGGATAGAGCTCAATCGGATCAGAATAATCGGAACGGGCTGTTTGCATGACGCATTTTTATTCCGAACGGCTGTTTAATCCGATTACTTTTGTCCATGTGAACGTAGCTGGTGACATACACACACAGGCGCTGTGTGAGATTTACAGCTGAAGAATAAACCTTTTTAACTGAGAACGCAACTTGGTTTTCTGCTCACTTATTTGGATGTTCAGTTTTTGAACACTTTCTTACACCGTGATGGTCAGGTTTGAACATTTTGAATGGGTTTAGTCAGGGGCGGTTCCATGGGCGGGGCCACAGGGGCATTGGCCCCAGATGAAATCTGATTGGCCCCTGATGTCCTGTCACTCATCTGTCCTTTGCCTAAGAGTGATGATGATGGGTGCAGTTCCACATTCAAACACTAGAGGTGCTAATGAGTCAAATAGGAATGTCCAGCATGAATCAAGCTTAGAGATGACGTCTTCTCTTCTTGAGATTTGAACAATGCTGCAGGAAAAGTCTTTCCACTAACAAACGATGGCTGGATATTTTTACATGCTGTGTGTTTGAGAGTATTTGATCTATGTACAGTAAAAAATACATGTAAAACTTGTAAGGAGAATATACATGCAAGATTTTTTAAATTACATTACAAGTGCTTGAACACATGTGACTGGTTGAATGTATACAGCTTACCAAAATCAGAGATTTGTGTACAAAGATGTTAAATAAATACTTGGCCCCTCTAAGATTATTGTGGTCCCTTGATGGCCCCTTATTCAGAAAAATCTTAGATCCACCACTGGGTTTAGTAAGTTAGAAGAGAAATATGTCAGCTCAGAGGAACATGGAAACTCTGTGGATCCCAGACAGCTACAGCACAGCGATGAGAGGTGCAGGTATGGCAAGCAGTAGCGTAATTTAATCAACATATTGTAAAGAATTGTGGCAAGACATTTTTATGTTTATTCATGTTCTTTGATGGGTTAGGGTTAGTGGTTTATATTTTCACACAAGGAGATGCAATTTTGCATCGTGTTCTGTTTTATTTAACATATAGGGGAGGGTTAAAGACATCTTAGGTCAAGACCAAGTCCAGATGAAAATATTGAAGCAAACAGTTCAGTTTGCAAACAGTTTTTGTTTTGTTTCGTTTTTAGATACATTATTTAACAACAAATCTTTGGAGTTTATCAATCTTTCTTATTGAAACCTGGCCTGTGGGTGACTTTTTACAAT